GCCCTAACCGGTTTGGCTCAGTGGATAGAGCATCGGCCTGCAGACTCAAGGGTCCCAGGTTCGATTCCGGTCAAGGGCATGTACCTTGGTTGCGGGCACATCCCCAGTAGGGAGTGTGCAGGAGGCAGCTGATAGATGTTTCTCTCTCGATGCTTCTAGCTCTCTATCCCTCTCTCTTCCTCTCTGTAAAAAATCAGTAAAATATATTTTAAAAAATAAAAATCATCATTCTCCCCTTTAAAAAAAAGAGAGAAATAGAATGAGCCTGGCCAGCATAGCTCAGTGGTTGAGCATCCACCTATGAACCGGGAGGTCACAGTTCGATTCCTAGTCATAGCACATGCCCGGGTTGCGGGCTCCATCCCCAGTGTGGGGCGTGCAGGAGGCAGCCGGTCACTGATTCTCTCTCATCATTGATGTTTCTCTCTCTCTCCCTTTCCTTTCCTCTCTGAAATCAGTCAAAATATATTTTTAAAATAAAGAAAGGAAGGAAGAAAAGAAAATGACATGTGAAGCACGTTGGGTTTGGAAACCAGGTGTGATCACACCCATTTGGGGGGCGGTGTCCCCGAGGCCTGTGGTTTCTCGGAGTGGGCGCTCCAGCCGAGAGGCGCCCTGCCCCGTCCTCTGACCGCGCTCCGTTCCCTCGCAGAGCACCAGAACTACTTCGGGATCGACGAGCACCTGGGCCCTGTGGCCGTCAGCATCCGGAGGGAGAAGGTGGAGGACGCCAAGGAGAAGGAGGCGTCGCAGTTCAACTACCGGGTGGCGTTCAGGACGAGCGAGGTAACGGTGCCCCATGGCCACCGTCCTGGGCCGAGCCTAGGATGCCACACGTTCGGTTGTTTCAGAAAAGCATCGCCTTGGTTTCTTAATGAGAACTGTTACAACCTTTCAGATCATTGAAAGGGCCGCACCTTTTTATTTAAAAAAATAAAATTGAAAACCTGCCATGGATGGCCCGGCCGGCCTGGCTCAGTAGCTGAGCATCGACCCCTGCACCAGGAGGTCATAGTTCGATTCCTGGTCAGGGCACAGGCCCGGGTTGTAGGCTCGATCCCCAGTGTGGGACGTGCAGGAGGCAGCCGATCCATGATTCCCTCTCATCATTGATGTTTCTCTCTCTCTCTCTCCCTCCCCCTCTCCCTTCCTCTCTGAAATCCATAAAAATATATTTTAACAAAAAGATTAACTGAGGTCTCGTGTGTCGCCCTTGCAGCTCACAACGCTGAGAGGAGCGATTTTGGAAGACGCGGTCCCCTCCACGGCCCGGCACGGCACGGCGCGGGGCCTGCCCCTCAAGGAGGTGCTGGAGTACGTCATCCCCGAGCTGAACATCCAGTGCCTGCGGCAGGCCGCCAGCTCCCCCCGGGTCCCCGAGCAGCTGCTCAAGCTCGACGAGCAAGGGGTGCGTATCCTGTGAGGCCGGGGGGTGCATGTCCTGTGAGGCCGGGGGGTGCGTGTCCTGTGAGGCCGAGGGGGGTCTGTCTCTCAATGCCTTGGCGTTTCCCATCCACCTTTCCTTTCGGATTGTTTCTTTCTGGCACCTGGACTCCTTTTCTTGCTGCTTTTTCCCAGAATGCCTCTCTCTGGGTCCCAACACATGCTGGCTTCGTCGTATAGCACCTGCTGAGCCATGCCCTTCGGGGCTTCTACCAGGTCAGGTGTGTGCACGTCTGACCTGGGATTTTTATTTTTTTAATCTTATTGTTGAAAGTATTACAGATGTCCCCCTTTTTCCCCCATTGGCCCCCTCCAGCCCGCCAGCCCGCATCGTCCCCCCTCCTCCCGGCCTTCACCACCCCGGAGTGTCCCCCCCACTCTCCCGGTTTGTCTGTCGTCGTTAGGTAATGGAGTCGAGTCTCATTTTGCCTCGTTTCACTGATCGAGTCAGCCGTGAATTCTGATCCGCCGCTCTCCTGTCCAGCGAGGGAATAAAAGCGAGCGCGTTACGGGATTGACGGCTGGAGAGAATCGGCGCGTCTGCTGATCTGTCAGTTTCTGAGGCTCAGGTTGCTGCGAGAGAGATTGAGTGCTCTGATACCGCCAGGGAGAGGGGGTCCCTCTTTGGGGAGAATCGGAGGCTCTAAAGACAGATCCGTTTCCCCCCCAGCCTGGGAGAAAGCCGCCCTGCGCTCCCACCCGCACGGGAGTGCCCGGGATAGGGTTACAGCCGGAACTCTTCAATCGCTATTAACATTCCTCGCGGCCTTTGTATATTTAACAGATGTTTTCTTTGCAAGATAGTCGAAATGTAGAAATGACTTTAATTGCGCGGGCAGAGTCACTTTTATGGAAACCAAACAGTTTTCTGTTTATATGCATATATCACAGTGCCCACTGGGACACCGGCCTTCCCCAGTCTTCGTTTGATTTGTTTTCTTACTGCAGGCTTTCATATTTCATATTTTTATGATGGTTCAAATCACAACAAAAAGGGAACGTTAGGAGCCAGCGACGGAAAGCTTTTAAAAGTCTGTGGCCTTTTTTCCTCCCGACTGGGAAGATAACGCTCGTTAATCTGTGGCGGGTGCAGGATGAAGGATTTCCAGTTACAGTTTGGAGTAGATGCTGGAGTAGTTAATTCCGTTCATTTTGGAAACCTGGCGGACCCATGCAGCCATGCCTTACATAATTTCTCAGGCTTGCTGCCTTTTCTTCCGTGGTATTTCAGGGTTCCTGGGTTTGGGGCCGTTTGTACAACCACATTTAGATGCTTGAGTAGTTAATTCCGTTCATTTTGGAAACTTGGCGGACCCCACGTGGCTATGCCTTACATAATTTCTCAGGGTTGCTGCCTTTTCTTCCGTGGTATTTCGGGGTTCCTGGGTTTGGGGCCGTTTGTACAACCACATTTGCTGCTGCTGCTTCTTTTTTAAAAAATATATTTTTATTGATTTCCGAGATGAAGGAGAGGGAGAGAGAGATAGAAACGTCAGTGATGAGAGAGAATCA